GTATAGGAGGAGATTCGTAATGTGCCAATCGTGAACCAGCAGTATCCTAATGAGTCGTTTATGCCTGTTCGAGGGCTCGACGAGCTTCCCAAGCCTCCAGTGGCTAACAGACGTGAGATTTTATTATTTGATGATCTGAAATTAATTATTTTTTTCGTGATTGTTGTGAAATCAATTTTTTGCCAACTACTCAGTAGTTTGGTAACAAAAAATAAGAACATTGAAGTTATGAAAATGCTCTTTGGGTTTTGAGTTTAATTACTCTTCAATAATTGTGTAATGGTTTGCCCCTTATCCCTTTTTTCTTTTTTATATAACCCTAACTTGAAATTCATCAATATTTTCATTATTTGAGGATCTAAAATTAATTATTTTTTTCTTGATTTTTGTGAAATCGATTTTTTTTTCAAGTACTCAGTAGTTTGGTAACCAAAAATAAGAACATTGAAGTTATGAAAATGCTCTTTGGATTTGAGTTTAATTACTCTTCAATAATTGTGTAATGGGTTGCCCCTTATCCCTTTTTTTCTTTTTTATATAACCCTAATTTGAAATTCATCAATGATGTATTATATATGGTTTTCTTTTCTATCTTACATGTTATTCATCAAATCTATTTCAAGCATGGATAACAAAAGAGAAAACACAATTACGGGATATTAATACTTTCTAAATTATATCTTAATTTTTGCACAAAATCCCTTGTTTTCCCAATGTTAGGGACCTGTTTTTGGTTTCACTTGAAACTATACAATGATTCGGTTAACAGACGATGTGTTTCCTCAAATATAAATCAGCTATATTAATAGATAGGGTTTTAAATTTTGTATTATATATAATATATGCAACTTACATAATTATAAATTAATTATTAGATTAAAGGATAATATTTTATTTTATGGAAAATGCAAACAATATATATTTCTTTGATTTTTTTTTTTTTATATTCGATGTCAGACACTCCATCCAGTCAAGCAAGAAAGATCAGAAAGTCCTTTATAGATGCAAGGTGACAAAACGGAACAGGTCTATCCAATTCTGTATTATTATTATTTTTGTTTATTTAGTTAATTCAACCTTACATAAGGATAAAATATTATATACGTTATCATATTTTTATTTATTCATTTTGCTTTAAGTAGTCTATTTGTTTTTTAATTGATATATGTATATATTTGAATTCATAGGTGATAAACACACGGAGCAAAACAGCTGCCCAACTGCAGTTCAAACCATAGGAACGTCCGATATATTTTGTTCATTATTTAAATATAACATGTTATTTACTCATCAATGTAATCATGTTTTGGAGTTGATATAACCTTTTATTTTTATTTTTTTGAAAGGTAATGAAATCACTTTAACTTGAAGCGGGTCAAAGATAAGGGTTTATGTTGTTCAGGTCAAAAAAATAAACCCCTTATCTTCCTTCCAAACTACAAAGAAATTTTTCAATATTTGAAATAATTCTATTTTTGCACTTTTATACAACAACATGTATTTTTTCTATTATTTTATATTTTATATATTTTTTTTCAAACAACCCGTGTAGTACACGGGTGTCGTACTAGTTACATAGTTAATTTGAAATATGTAATAATATGAAAATGCACACGTGTCCGCCTCACATATCATAAATATTATTTATGCTAATAGTAAATTTATATGCATTATAAAACCGTCTTCTAGTAGTACAAAATATTTCTCTGTGTTAACACATAATATATGACTTATTTGTTAACGAGAAGATATGTCATAAGTGTTGAGTTCATTTAAAATAACTAAGTAAATTAATCTATATGAAAATGGAAAAATTTTTATTCATGTTAGCTACCGAGTCAAATAAAAACTCAAGTATTACAAAATGGACCGGAATTAATAACTGAAATTGAATAGCTGAATAACTGGGCTCGGAACTCAAAACGAGCAATATTAATAAAAGGAAATAGTTCAAACTCGGAACTAAACTATCACTTTTATAATAATAGAACTGGGCTATTACACGAGCCGCTGGGATCGTGAAAAGTGGTGGGACCGCCGGTAAATGCCGCATTAGCTCGCGCCTGTCCGGTCCTCCCGCTGTGTTTGCCGTTACTCATGCGGCCACCACCTTTGTCGGACCACCGTCGCGGCTGTTCCCGGTTCCCCACCATTCGGGATAGCCAATCACCTCAAAGCACTTAGCAGCAACATGTCCTATCTTGCCACAGCTAGAACAGGTAAGATTTTCACCGAGCATCCGCCGGCTGCAGCGCCATGATCCGCCATGACGGTTGCTGCAATTGGAGCCCCACCCGCAGCCTGCAAACCAGCATAGTGAGCAGTTCCTGTTGAGCCGGGGATAACCGGGCCGTATCCAGGAGCAGCGCCTAAGACGCCGGAGACATTAGCCTTCACCGCAAAGCTGGAGATGTCAATCGAGGATTGGTCGTGAAGGGCTGTACGCATAAGTTCCCTCCGAATCATCATAGCGTAAACTCGATTGAGGTTTGGCATGAGATCAAGAGCTAGGACGTGCGAGCGTGTCGGGTCATACAGATTGCCATTGAGGCCCATCAGGAATTTATGAACCTTCGCTTCTTCCAGTTGTCGATCCCATTCAGTCTGAAGTCTGCACGTACACTTGCCGCAACGGCACATAGGAGAGTGCTCATAGCCAGCAAGTTCGTCCCAATCATCCGACCATAATATTCTCGATGCTGCTTCCCGCATGCTTGCACCCGGATAAATCAAGTTGATTTGCTGAATTCGGGGCCTGTTGACCATGGTGTATCGTTCACGAAGTGCTAGCCATAAATCATGAACGTAATCAGGTGGAGAGATCGTCAATTGAACCATTGGATCGATAGTGTTCATGACCCAGCACAACAAAAGATGATTGTTAGTGAGCCAATCTTCATATAAATCCGCCCCAGGCTGAGGATGAGAAATAGATCCATCAAGAAAACCGAACTTCTTACGAGCACCAAGGGCCGTACACAAACTCCAAGCCCATTCTTCATAATTGGTGTCGCCTTTTAATTGGACATGAGTGATTAACAAACCGAGATTGTCGGAGGAAGAAATATCAAACGGAGAGATGGATCGCCGGGTGACAATCTCTCCTTCTTGTGTCACACGCGATGAACTAGTCTCTGCCATATTCTTTTCCTTTTTTTTTTAGTGAAAACCTGGCGCTTGAGTGGTTGAACAAGACAAAAACAAAAAATATTGAGGGGTAAGTCTCAGTTGCGAGAGAATGGATCGATTTTGATTTTGATTTTTATTTTTTTTGAACTGGGTTTGAATACGGTAGAAGAAAAGAAATAATGAGGCTGATTTTGATTTGATTTTTTTTTGGGGAGTGGCTCTCTCTGTTGATCGAGAGAGGACAAGAAGATATGAAAGGTACAAGTCTCAGTTGATCGAGACCGAAAAAAATCTTAACCAGGTTGTGATACCATGACAAAAAGATATGTAAGAAAACTTTTCTAATTAAAGCCTATCAAATATTTACAAAATATACTACAAGATATATACAGATATGATAACAATTTATAAAATAATAAATCTGATTAGTGTTCAAACTACTACAGTTTTATGCTCCACTAATAAAAGAACAAATTTGATAAGTGTTCAAACTATTAATGTTGTATGCATAAAGTGGTACACAAGCTACTACTACGAAGCAAAGAAAATTGTAAAACTATTTAAATATATTAATAAAATAAAATCATACGCAAGCCACATTTCAATATTACAGCACCAATTGTTGAAACAATAATCATGAAATAATTGATAAAGTTGAGATAATGAAATGAAAATTGGTAAAGCATATAACACTTTTATAACCTGCCAAAAATAAGAATAATAATATTCTCTGCATTATATTGTAAAACTATTTAAATATAATAATAAAATAAAATCATACGCAAGTCGCCTTTCAATATTACAGCACCAATTGTTGAAACAATAATCATGAAATAATTGATAAAGTTGAGATAATGAAATGAAAATTGGTAAAGCATATAACACTTTTATAACCTGCCAAAAATAAGAATAATAATATTCTCTGCACTATATTTGTGCACATTAAAATTATTACTCAAATTGTTCGATTGATAGTTTATATTATAGAGCCGATCAAAATATTCTATCTCTAACATATTGCTAAATTCATCGTGGTCGACTGTAAAAGTATATTATAAATCTTGATATTCATTAACCACCACCCCCCCGTCTAATTAATTTTCTTATTCTTAATTAGTTTTACGATATTCATTTTTTAATAGAATAATTTAGAATTAAAAAGGTATAATCTATTCCTATTTTGTTATCTATTGGTTGCATAGCTGTTCACGAATATATAATACTATTAACTTTAATATTAACATATATATGTATATATATATAGAGAGAGAGAGAGAGATGAGATCATATGAGAATGGTAGATAGTAAAAGAAATAAGAATGATTATAGACTATTGGATCCAACATATTAATGGTCATGATCAGGTCAAATATTAAATATAACAGTCGAACATCTTATGGAAATTTAGTAAATAAGTGGTCATATTGTGGTCAAATATAAATATTTGACCACTTAATGAGGATATTTTGGTCATTAACAACTACCCCCAACAACCTAGTGGACCCCACACACAACCACTAATCCTCTCTCACATACTCACACACAAAACACACACACACACTAAATCACGCTCCTGCACACACGGTCACACACACAGATTGCACCCCCACACACACACTAATTATATGCATCCCGCCTCTTGCCGCCCATCTTCAGCTGCCCGCCGCCCGCCACGCGCCTCCCGACACCTCCAGACGCCGTCTTCATATGCCCAGTCCCGCCATACAACTCAAGACCAACAGTTGTCGGAATCTCGCCGGCTAAGTTATTGCTAAAACTCCGGTCGAAAATCAGTCGAGGAAAAAAATACTAGCCGTCCTACCGCCCGCCACAACCACCACTGTCGCCGTCTTCCATATGTGCAGCCCCGACTTTGCCGATATGTTTTCTCGCCGGTAGCTTATGTTGTTGTCTAGAGTCGAAAATTTCCAACGTCCAGCGGTGGTCTTGAAGCTTGATAGGTCGGGCCAGCGGCAGAGGTGGCGGATCTCGTCGAAGTGCTCGCTCCACGTAATTGATGGAGGTGGTCGGCAGAACATCAATGGAGTATGAGGTGGTGTGATGTTGGCAGTGCAGGAGACAGAGGCGGATCTGGATTGGGGCAGCTACGACGACTACGGCGCTGAGAGAGTGACGGAGGAGCAGGAGCGCAAATGTGTGTTCCTATGTGTGTCTGATGTCCATGACAGCGGTGGAGCAGGGAGATCCGGCGACGACTGTGTGGCAGGGAGGCTCCGGTGACGGCAGCAGACCTTGGGCGGCTGAGACGTGGCGAGAATTTGGTCGCCGAAAAAGTGACAGATTTGTTGAGGTGTTGAGGGACTATACTTTGGAAATTTGATAGGGCTCAAGGACTTGTATGCAAATTGAAAAAGTTACCTACATTTTCAATTTAGTACATGTGTTAAATTTATAATTTACTAAACTTTAATAAATGCATTATATTGATGAGGAAATTACACATTATGTGGTGTATATATTAACATTAAAATACAATTATTTTTTTATACAAAAATATTAAAATTATAATAATTGCACAACATTGATAAGTAAATTGCACATTAGTATGTGGACATATGCACTTTAAAAATTAATGTGAAGTGTTTAAACATATATTTATTATATTATATAAATGCACACTAATGATATAAATCGGAATAACCAAATTTTTAGACGTAAAAAAACATAGAATCGAATCAGCATGTAAATATTTCGAACAAACAATTTAAGGTCGGTCGGTTTCGATCATTATTGTGCAATCGGCAAACATTGATGTGCGACTCATATAACAATATGGTGCATTTTTTTGGTCGCTATTGTGCAATATGAGCTGACTGGACCTTTGCGCCAATTCGATTTGATATTGAACATAATTACTTGGTTTATTCGGTCGGGTAACCGAATTAGCCAAAATAATCGTAATGAAATATTATTTATCGGGTAACCGAATTAACCAAAATAACTGAAATAAAGTATTATTTATATTATAAAAAAAAAAACATATTGAGTATTGTTTAACATTTTTATTTGATTGTTAATTTTTTTTTTTATTTTTGCTAGAAAATATATAAATTATTTATAAAAATAAAAAATGCGAAGAATTAATATTTTTATATATAGTTTGGTCGATTTGGTATTGAACTGAAATAACCAAGTTTTTAAAAGTAAAAATAGATAATTAAGTCGAAATATAAAAGTTGAATCGAAACGTTTAGTTTGGTCGGGTTCTGTCAATATTGTGCACTACGACAGTCATTGTTATGCACCCCGTCTAACACTAAAGTGCACTCAAATTGCAGTTATTTTTTAACGATTTATCCCAAAACAATCTAAAAGCAAAATAATCGGGTTATTTTGATATGTTAATTGAATTAACCTAAATAATCAAAATAATTTATTATTCATATTACAGAAAATATATATAGTATTTAAATATAAATTCTATATTTTTATAATATTTTTTTTGTCGAAAATACGTAATATATAAAATACTGAAATCGATAATGTGCAATCCATTATTCACTAATGTGCAACCTAGCTAACACTAATGTGCAATCGAGCTGCAACTATTTTTTTATAAAAATATATTCAATATTTTAATATTCTTATTTAATATTTACATTATTTTTTTTATTGACAATATAATATAGATATGTATATATATTACAATGTGTAATTTATTTATTTAATATATGAAAATATAATTTTTTTTGTTATGTAGTATTTAGTATATAAATATTTTTATTTAATATTCTTATATATTATTTTTTTGGTTTAAAATACATGATACATGTGTATAAAAAGTATATATAAAATAATATTTTTATAAATCACAAATTTGGCCCATGGATTAAAGAAAGATACTCAAAATAACTGAAATTGCAGTAAAGTCCTTGAGTTTTATCCAGATTTTGAAACCAATCCAGCCATTAATGAGGGTTGAGCTCCTGCTGCGCCTTGACTGTCGAAGTGGAGTAAGGACGACGGTGACAATGGCGGCCGGTTTGCGACGACGCTTCGTCGTGGAGGAGGATGTCGGAGACGGCGAGATCAATGACGACAAACCCGAGCTCCACATCTTCCAGCAGCGAGACGGAACCCGGCAGTCGTGCGGCTGCACCTACGCATGTGTCGGCTGGAGTCGGGCTGCCGTGTGTCGGGGTTGGAGTCGGCAAACGGCTGTATATGAAGGATGGCGGTGGCGTGAGGACGACGGCTCGTATGGCGTGACGAATGGCGTGAAGATGTCGGCAACCTGATAGACGGCATAACGGACGGCGTGAAGTTGTCGGTGGCGTGACGGACGACGATGTGAGGACACTGGCGGCATGATGGACGGCGGTGCCCCGCAGGCAGCGCCGTGACTGTGAATTGTTACGTACGTGTGTGTGCGCAGATTTGTGTGTGGGTGGGAGTGTGTGTGCATGTGTTCTGTGTGTGGATGGAGTGTGTGTGCGTGTGTTCTATGTGTGGGTGCGTATGTGTTGTGTGTGGTGATGATTACGTGGTATGTGTGCGTGTGTCGGAGAGGGGAGAGGGAAATGAGAGAGGGGTGACATGGCAGGTTGGGTCATGTGTGGTAAATTACCGCATTACCCTTAATGAGAGTATATTTTTGGGTTTTTTTTAGTCATTAGATCATCCGATCTAATGGCTACGATTTAGTCTTATTTCTTTTCCATTCTCATGCGAACCCAACCCTATGTGTGTGTGTGTGTATATATATATAAGGTTTAGTATTTACTTGTGAGATAGATAAATTCTAAAAATTGAATAGAATGGATAGATGGCAAAATATTTATTTTAAATTTGTTTATATATTTTTAAATTAATTACATCAATAAATAATATTATTGTACATTAAATATTTATCATTTTATACAAAGAAAAAATACTACTTTTATAAATGTTATAACCAAAAAAAAAAAAAGTTATTATATGACAATAAATTTTAGAATAAAATAATATTTGAGTATTATGATGAACAAAATAAGTAAAATTATTAATTTTTCTGTATTAGAAAATAAATATATGTGTTAAATATTGTTTTTATTAATATAAACGGGTCAATGGACTAATATAGTGATAAAATAAAATTTTAAAATAAAGTTTTAAGGTACAAAATCTCCGTGCATCACACGCGATGCTTACTAGTTTATCAGGTATACGCAGTCCACATATTTTGGTAGTTTAAACAAAATAATAATTAACATATTTTCATCAAAAAAGAATTAGTTTTTTTTATGTATATAAAGGCTCTACGTGATAAGATGGACTTAAAGTGATTAGGCAATCCAAACGTTCAATTTAATAGAGATTATCAAGTAAAAACAGTCCACATTTTGGGGTTCTTCTGTTACTAGGATTTAGATTGCACATGTATCAATTAAAATTAATATAAAAATTTGGAAAAATTACACTTTGTCTACCGAATTATCCGTGTTTTTACACTTTGCCCACTCAACTTTTTCCGGTGATACTTTAACCCTTGAACTTCAAATATTCTTGCACTTAACGACTTCCGGCCACTGGAGATGCAAAATCAAGCAAAATCGTAAGTTACACCTTAGGGACACCTCAAATTAGTCTTTCACGAGTACACTTTGCCTACCGAACTATTTGTGATTTTACACTTTGCCCTTAATTTTGTATCTCCGGTGGCCGTAAGTCGTTAAGTGCAAGAATATTTGAAGTTTAAGGGGTAAAGTGTCACCGGAATAAATTGAGTGGGCAAAGTGCAAAAACGCGGATAGTTCGGTAGGAAAAGTGTAATTTTCCCTAAAAATTTTGTAATAAAATAAAATCAATATGGTTAAGTTTTTTAACGATCATATTAATTACATTAAGTTCATAATTAATACAATTCATCTAAGAATTTGAAAAACAATTTTTTTTTGCTTATTTTATTATGGTATTTGGTTGTGTGTGACGTTCATATTGAAAAGATAATCTATACATGTAAATTAACAGTGTTTATCAAATAAATACAATCCACATTTTTTTTATTTCTCAGTTAATTTCAATATTTTTTTTTGACAAAATTGTGTTTTCAAGTATATATTTATTTATTAATGAAATTTGCGCAGGGGGTGTGGGATTGGCTCGGGAGGTAGCCTTCGGCTCTTGTCTCCCTGATGGATTCGGTCTAGGCTACTCCTCTGGCGAGCTAGTGTCACTGATGTCGAGTGGTCTCATCCTTTTGCGTGGATGCCATGGCGGTGGTGGTGTGGGTCGCTGGTTTCGTGAGTGGGGCGTGGTGCTTGGGCTTATAGCCGTGTCCGGCTGTTGACGGAGGTTGGGGCTTCGTGTTCTCTGTCTTCTTGCATATTGGTGACAGTGGTCCTCGGACTGCAGAAGCTGATTGTTGTGGTGGAGAGGACGGTTGTTTCTCGTCTCTCGGAGCTATCGGTGGTGGTCGTTCGGGGGAGGCTTCAATCCATCGATCCGGGTTGAGTTACCATAGGGAGAGTTTCTCGATCCGTGTGTTTTTGGGATGAGGGTTGGAGTCTCTTCAGTTTGGCCTCTATGGAGTCTTTTGGGATGTCGAAGGTTCTTGGTGCTGGGCGGTTGGCGGGGAGGGTGGCTTTTCTAGTAGTCTATTTTGTTTGTTTGTTTTGTTGTGTGTTTATGTTTTTCAGGGGTTGTGGTGTTCCTTTTGTTCTGTGTTTTGGTCGCCCGTTTGAGCCTTGTGTTTTTATTAGTGTTGGTAGGTCATTCTCCTATTGGGAGCAGGTCATTCTCTTGTTGAGAGCTTGATCGTGTTTAGTGTTTGTGTGTTGTAGCTAGGTTGGTTCTAGGCTGCCCTGAGCGAGATGCATATGGGGTTAATCATCTCTTCTAGATTTAACTAGTAGTTGTATTTACTATTTTCGACTGTTTAGTTGTTCTCTGATTCGTAATTATGTGTTTTCTTCTATTGAAAACCTATCGTTCCGAAAAAAAAAAAAAAAATAAACATTTTTTTTAAAAAAAAAAAGGAATAAGTATGTGTTTTATTCAAAGGTTATATGTACGTGATAAGATAAAACAAAGTGATTTGAAAATTAATTTTTTGTGTCACTTTGCAGGGTTTTTGGTTGTGTGAGAAGTTCATAGTGATTAGGTAATCTATACGTGCAAATTAACAGTATTTATCAAGTAAAAGTAATCCACCTTTTGGGGGTATTTCTGTTATTAAGAATTTGACTCCATCACATATCAACTAAATTAAATTATGCAAATAATAGGAATATAATCTTTTTTTTCTTTTTCTGGATAAAATTGTGTTTTCAAGTTTATATTTAAATTAACTGATTTAAGATGCAAGTATGTGCGCGGTCAGTTTTGCTATAAAGATGTGGAACGTGAACCTCACCTTACCTACCCTCATCATCATAATCATAATCATAATTTGTTGTGACAAATCAAAGATGAGCACTAAAATTCAACTTCATTTGCACAGGTATAGAAATTTGGGTACCAACTTTTGACTTAGGTTTTACAATAAACAAACGCAAAGTCAGCTAACCAACGCGTTTCGCAAAGATAAAACTGTGATCCTTCTTAGTTGTCTGTTGTTCCAAAATCTAATTAATCATCTCTGTTTCTTGAAACCCTAGAAATGTGCCCTTTGAGATTTATATTGGTTTTCTTCTCGGCAGCATTGGCTGGGTATCTCGCCTGGAAAACGGCGACTTCTGCAGATGAACCCAACATCATAATCATCACACCAGATGACTCGACCCTCGAAAAGAGAGACATTGAGAAGCCACGATTTCAATTTCTCAAGGTCCGAATTTTTGTGTATCAGTATTTATACCGTCCTTTCTTTTTTAATTATCTTGTTGGTATTATTTGTTATGTATATATATTTACTTGTCTGAAGCTGCAGATGATGAAAAACGGGTTCTGGGTATTCATTGACATGGCTAGCGGACGATACCTTTGGAGGAACGTCAAACAATTGAACAGCTGCAGCCAGCATGTTGATTAAAGCAACCACCAGCTACAATGTATATTAATTCATCATCAATTCTGGAAATGTATGTAGCTGGTTTCTGACTCATATATATATGTGGTTAACTCTTTGATCTATACGCTTTGTCATGTTCGATAAAAGTGGGAAGCTGTTTTGTTGTAAGTTGGATTTTTTTTTTTCGTATTCTGCAACGAATGGGTGTTGTCTTGTTGCTGCTCAGTTTTATTTTGATTGTTGTAAAAGGAGGATTATATCAAGAATTGTGATTTTTATCATAATTTACACATGTTAGTGTTTCGTGCGTTCTGCATCTTGCTTAGCTGACCTAAACCTCATATATTCGACCATAAATAAATTGTTAGTGCAAACATCAAACATCTACTACACAAGTTCTGGGGTCGAAAATAATTAATTATAATGTGGAAAGAAAATATTGTCTGATTGGGCTTTGATATTAATGGAGATTTCATAAAACCACATTCTTTAAGAAAATAGTTGTCCACTTTGGTTGGAGGCAGCAGTATGAAGAAGCAATTGCAGGTGTTATACATATATGCTTCTAGCTGGGCATGCTTTTATTTATACTTGTATTTGGACAGTTAGTCTAGATATGTCCAACCTCTATCTGGCCTGTGACTGGTGCACTTGGAGTTTTTTGTTGTATTGTTATATTTTGTGCTGGCTCTCTCTGTAGTTGGTTTGTCCAGAAAGCAATTTTATATATTTAAATGCAATCCGCAGAACTTAGGGTGATTCAAGATTTTGAGAATTTGAAATCATATACGTCTAGAGTCTCTGTGGGATGTGAATATCTTTACATATTTCGTACTATAGTTTTATGGCAGTTGGAAAAGGAGTGAACAAGACTAGTACTTGGGTATTTGTTTTGTAAGCTTCATTTAAATGAGGATGATACTTATTGGACACTACAGTCTATAACAACCTTGAGTACCTGCACTGCATACCACTGCCTTCATCAATGAATACCTTTATAATTTTCATGATTTATTATTCAAACATCCCCACTTATCCGTGTTGCATCCCCAACTTGCAACACGGATAAGTCTGTTGGTTATATCTTAAAACTAGTTGTTGAAATGTGTGTAAAATAATATGACAGAATTTCTAAGATGTTAATATTGACTATTTCTAAACTAAGATAGTAAAAACTAACGGACGTGGTTACAATAACATATTTCTAGAAAAATAAAAAACGTGGAATCAATAACTATTTTTGCATGATCAGAGCAGGCAGTTTGCATTAGAATCTGAAATGTTAAAATTTCTTGTAATTTATCCTACTGATCAAGTCTCAGCAAGTTCTGTCATGGATTGAAGACTGTTAAAGCACCTCATTGTCAATTGCAGGCAGTTTTCTGCATTATTTTTAGTACTTGTCTGATTAAATTGCTAAATCAAGTTTCTATATATTAGAGCTCCTCATTACTAGGTGGACCAAGTTTATATTCATTTCTCTCTCTCTCTCTCTCTCTCTCTCTCTTTCTCTCTCTCTCTCCCTCCCTCCCTGATCCTCTCCCCCTCTCTCATCTCTCTCATCATTTGAGGTACTTTAATCCAGAGATAATTTTGTTTCTTTTTTATGTGCATTTCAGAAATTTTATTATGGATCTAGATCTTGAAACTCTATAACCAAATAATAATATTCTTTAAGCATTACAGAGTGGATATTCTATTTAAAAAAAAATGAAAACAGGCACATATGGAAGATTTATTCGATTCTATTTAGGCCTACATTGTTAGCAGTTAGAATCTGATGCAACAACAAATATATCTAGGACTCCGCGCATTAGCATCCTTGTTAAGCTTTAATGGACTTTCTGTAACCTGCAGCCAAACTGCCAAAGATCTTCGTCTTTGGTCAACGGGAAAAGTCCCAACTTAATGTGTCTAGATGACTCCTTGCATGAGCCATGGTGTTACATTACATGCATAATAATATCCAAGAGCGAAAGTAGTTTCAATGATTTGATAATTTATGTAACTTTATGATAATTCTTGCTTAGGACATTCGTTGGAACAAACTTGAATCCTTTGTGGTAAAGATTTCTTTTTCCTTCTGAAGGTAAATGTACTTAGTTTGTAGTAACATAAGACTAAAGAACATTTATCATTTATGTGTTAATAGTTGTATACTGCATGCTGTCTTACATGACTTTTCCCCTATGAAAGGAGAGAACAGAGAGGCGAGATAAGAAAAGTGGGGTAAGTGATAACAAGGAGAAAAAACTCTGGTAAACCATGTCGAAGGATCTACAAGGATCATGGTACAAAGTCATGCAGGATAATCCTGTTATAATGTGAATTGACACAATTAATGAGGCTAGTATCCGGCAACCAGGATCATGGTACAAAGTCATGCAGGATAATCCTGTTATAATGTGAATTGACACAATTAATGAGGCTAGTATCCGGCAACCGGAATACATAAACAAATGTAAGAGGCAATGCAGGAAGTCCTGAAACAAAAAAGACTGTAGGAAATTGATGATATGGAAACCTTAAAATCTGAAAGTACTTGGATGTCATATGCAACTGGCCAAATTTGTTATTTATTTTTTATTTCTTAGATGACTGGATAAAGTGTCAGCATACCTCCAATCCCCTTGGCAATGGTGCAATTGTAGAGACATCAGATAGAGAAGTTGTTGTGCTTCAAAGAAGTACAAATGTTGGCGAATTTCCTGGACCCTTTTTTGTTTTTCCTGGAGGGCATCCAAAGGTGCTATATACTTAAATATCCTTTCATCATTTCTGGAAGCAGCTAGTAATTTTCATGCTGTATTCATTTGTCCGACATTTTATTTTAATGAATTCTGATGCATCTGTTGGAGTAGAATACCCGGCGTTCCAATCAGATTGGATTTATTTCTACTTGTTAAAAAACAATTTATTGGAATTATATTATTAAGGCATTGTTTTATCTTATGTTTTTGCATTTATCTTATATTTGTACATATGATAAAGTCCTTAGATCATTAATGGCTATAAGGCATGGTTGCGCATTTGATGGTAATCATGGAACATATCTTTAAAACTGTGATCTTAAATACAGTTCCAAGTCGTTGGATATTTCGAGATGGGATATCGAATAATCCGGAAACACTTGTACATATGATGTATACTTGTTTGACAAGAATGTTGCATTCCATCAACATTAGCGTGGATCGCAAATACATATATGTGGGTGCTTGTTAGAGAACAAGTTCACTGAACATGACCGTATGAAAATTCTGAATGAAAGTTTATTATGTCGAATAAGAATTTTCATGTTACAATAGTACATGATTGATCCTTAGACTTGAGGCACGATAGTAACTTTGTGCATATTATATTTTACTTTGATTTATCCTTTTGATTGCTAGCACAGTCGTATAAAGGGATATTTTGGGTATTATATTAATATGAATGGAAGTTTGTCAGTGGCCAACAAAAGATTCAACATTTATGAGATAAGTGAATTTCCTATGTGTTTCATAGTCTGTAATTCAAAGTCCTTGGCCAAGGCGGGATGAATAGAGATTCATATATGAATTATTAAACTTGAAATGGAATCATAGTTATTATATCAATTTGGGTTTCGACTAAATCATACCCAAGATTTAATCAGGAAATTGGATGTCGAAAGGATTTTACATGTATGGACTTGTAATCGAAAAGGTTTACTCGCTATTCACTTAATACTAGATTCATGTTACTTGCTAGATGTTCCCATGATATGTGGGTTCTTGAATTAAGGAGTTAATTCAAAGAATAAGAATTAATTTGATTAATTCAAATTAAAGGAGTTGTAAACCCACTACTAGTATTAATAGTGAACCTAAAAAGGTCACACCCAATTTTGAATGAAGATCATTTGTAATTAGTATTTCTAAAGAGTTAGAATTAATTGATAAGTATTAATTTAATAATTTGATTATTTAATTAATTCTAATTTTGATAAGATATCAATTAAAGGAATATACTAAATTAATCAATTTGATTGATTAATTATACTTTGGATATTAATTAAGTAATTAATGGAATTACTAAATTAATAGTTGGATTTTAAAATTCAAATCCATATTATAATATGATTATAATAAGAGGAGATTTTATAAATATGTGAAATAATATATTTTGATTAATTTTTATCAAAGATTAAATTAATAAATAAAATTTTATTAGATGGGATCTAATGACATTTTTTTATTAAAATCATTTTAGATCTAGATGTCATCTAATTTGAATAAAATAATGATTTTAAAATACAATATGACATCTTGTGATCTAAATGTTTTAGTATAAATAGGTGTACATATGTGATGTACAAATGACACACTTGTATTAACAAGAAAATTGAAGAGAGAAAAATCACAAGAGTTGTAAATCAAGAAGTGTTCTTGAACTTAGAAAATTATTTCCATATCAAGAATAGTTCTTGAAAATTTTAATAAAGATTAAAACTATAATCTCCTCTAAAATAAATATTTCGATACTAATTGAACAAATCGAGAAGTTTCTACTAGCGAAGAAAGTAGTTCTCGAGATTGAATTACAAAAGGGTGGATACTTCTAGAGGGGAGACACTTGAATCCCTCGGGTGAGTAACAAGAGACGGTGAAAGTCACATACAACCGGGAATTGATTTCCTCAATCATCGTCGTGTAAAGAAGGAGTTCAAGATAAAAGGTAATTTTCGAAATTACTTATTACAAATCAAAATTCGTATTTATACGTGATTTTAAAAGATGCCGATTGTAACAATCGCTATTTGAACCGAGGGGTTTAGTATTTATTAGATAAATGCTTATTTATTTTATTTTATTTCCGCTGCGTTTTACCCCGTACGGTATAGCGAACCCAACAGTGGTATCAGAGCCACGGTTTGCATCTTTAAAATCAGATTTTGATTTATTTATGTTTATGCTATAAACATATTTAATTGCTAAATCATATAATTTTGTGTGTGATACAATTGTTGTATTTGATTTTAATTTGGGATTAATTATTAAATC